TGTGTGTGTGTGTGTGTGTGTGTGTGTGTATTTGATTTGTGTGGTGAGCAGAGGTAGAAGGGTTATAGAAGTCGTGTAGTGTGTTGGTAAACATTAAACAACAGTTTCTCTTGGGGTGGGGAGTCGCTGATTTACAGCATTTTCCATTATCAATTGTGTAAATATCCCCACCACGTCCAATGTCTAACTATTAACTTGATGACACTAAACACAGGGTTGGGAAGAAATGCTAACAATTCTGTCTCCCAAGCTGGTAAGTGTTGTCTCTGACATATCACAGGTTATAGAAGAAAAAAGGTCAAGAAGAAAGTGAGAACGTCACTCTGAAACATCTGTACTCACTTCAAAACTGAGAGTAGAATTAAAGCCGTCAGGAAAAGAACCAGACCTCCGAGTTTCCCCTCCCCCAAAAGCATGACACAAATACAGCTGTGTTTCTGCAGGGTATCTGACAGGGCACTAGATGATGGGCAAGGGCACCTTAGGTCTTAGTAAACACCCATAAAGTCACCCTCACTCACTTGACAGGCACTAAGCCAAACACCTTGGCTGTTGCTGCCCTAGCTCCGCTAAATGATCAGCTTCCTGACTTTCACCAACCTCAAGCGTCACCAGTCCTTTGGCCTCTCAGCCTCCCCCTTCAACACCTGGCCTACACAGTTAAACTCGCCTTTTGAAAACACAAATCTGATGCTGCTGGAAATTAAAATCTTATACTACTGGATGAGGGGCAAGTACACAGATGGAAAGGTCAAAGATCATATGCACATAAATTAGGAAACTGAAAACTTAGGTTCTTAGTTGTTATTGATTGGGCCCCTTGCATGGAAAGGAAATGTAAGACTCCTAAACAAAGATAAGGAGACAGAGAAAGAGAATCATTGTAACTGGGATGTGAAAATAAACCAGGATATTAGAGATCAGAAGGAGTCCCCCTGCCTCCCTGGTTCACACCAGCATGTAATTGATTATTGCTTCTTATTATTGTTATTGTTATTGTTATTAATATTACTATTATTTCTATTTTGAGAGGAAGCCAGATAGTGGATGAAAGGTGGTCAGTGAGGGGCAGACAACTTGTCTAATGTTCAAGTAGCTTCTGCTACCATGGACTGGCATGAAGACATTGCTTTCAGCTGAGGAAGACCCCTAGGGAAACAAGCTCATCTGGGCTTGACTACATCACCATACATGTAGAGTCTGAGAATGAACCTGGGCTCAAGGACCCTCACAACAAAATGACTCCAGACTACTCTGGGCTACAATATATGAGAATAACAAGGTTAAAATGGACTCTGCCTTTACCAGTCATATGATACTTAAGTCCCAGTTTCCTTAGAAATTGGTGTCAATAATGGCACTACCTCACATGGTTGTACATAGAATTTAAATAATATAGTGCATGATAGGCACCACATAGCATTTAAGACAGTGTTATGTGCCCCATTAATAGTTCTCATAATTATTTAATTATCTAGTTAATTATAAGTTAATAATTTAATTATCTTAAACCCATCTAGTGGAACTCTTTTATAGATTTTAAAATAACTCCTTTCCTTATTTAAAAATAAGAAATATAGAGAAGCAAGAAGAATATGAAAACCACCATGGGGTGCCTGGGTGGCTCAGTCAGTTAAGCGTCCGACTTCGGCTCATGTCATGATCTCACAGTGTGTGGGTTCAAGTCCTGTATCAGGCCCTGTGCTGACAGCTCAGAGCCTGGAGCCTGTTTCAGATTCTGTGTCTCCCTCTCTCTCTGCCCCTCCATGGCTCACACTCTGTCTCTCTCGCTCTCTCTCTTAAAAATAAATAAACATTAAAAAAACTTTAAAAAAAAGAAAGAAAACCACCATTTATTCCACCACTCAGAGAATCTTCAACATGCTCATTCTTTCACTGCTTAGTCACACACACACTCACACATACAACTTTTCTCTTACAAAAAAAAAGGCTTGATAAATTTTCTTCAAACTCTTTCACACAGCATTTTTAAAAAATTTATTCTATGGAATAATTAACACAACTGCAAAAGACTTAAGTAAAAACTTTCAAAATTGTTTATAATAGTGAAAACTTGGAACTACTTAGATAGAGAGCTAGTTAGATAAATCAAATTCCATCAAAGTGATGCACGATTATGTGGCTATTAAAAAGAATGGGCCAACTCTATATGTAAATAGTTCCAAACTAGGAAAGATTTTTAAGTGAAATGTCAGGTTTAGAAGAGTACATAAATAGTACAGCCACACCCACACTTATACAGATACAGGTACATGCATACATATATGTACTTGAAAGATATGTTAACATATAAAAAGTGATTATGAGATGGGAAACCGAAGGTGAGACCATTAAGAAGAAAATTAGGTCCTAATTTCTGTTTGCATTTTTTTACAAGAGCTTCAAGAAAAGTAGTTTAAATTGAATACTTTTTTTCTTGGCAAAGAGATAGTTACTTAGTTTGAAATGGATAATTAAAATAAGATTTGCTCGTGTACTTAATCATATGCTGTCAAATATTGTCTCCATTATTTAGATTGCAGTGTAATGCAGTTTGTAGATATCTAATTCTCAAAATCTTCATGTTATACCAGCATTCATGACTGCATTAGGGCAATGAAAGAAAGGCTGAAGAGCTATTTAACAATAATGACTTCAGCTTACATTTCTTGAGTGCATCTATATGCCAGCCACTATACTGAGGACAACCTTACCATGTAGATACTAATTTTATCATCTCCATTTTATAGAAGCTTAGAAGAGGTTAGTAACTTTCCAATATTCACAAAATATTGGCATTGCGATTCAAAAGCTCCGTTTTGTCTGATGCTGCAACCATACCCTTACCCATTATAATTCACTGCCTGCAGGACCTGAATCCAAATAGTCTTACCTCAGTCCCTGCAAGTGGCATGTTGAACTACCATATTGCATTGCTTTTCAGTTCCCATCAATTGTACTCATGAGTTATAATGTTCATACAATCAAATACACAGATTTCAAAAGTACAGTTTTGATGAGTTTTAACAAATATGTTACTCATGTAACCATGATATCAATAAAGTTCTCTTGTGCTCTTTACATACAATTTCCCTTCTCACCCTAGAGAGAGCCCCTTTTCTGATTTTGACCAGCATAGCTAAGTTTTGCCTATTTTATAACTTCAAACTTCATACAAGAGATGGGGGTTGGGGGTTAGCTTCTTTCACTCATCTTATTTTTGAGATCCATCTATGTTGTTGTGTGCATCAGTGCTCCATTCCCTTTTATTGCTGAGTAATATTCCATTGTTGAAAATTCCACAATTTCTTTATCCACTCATGTACAAATAGGCATTGACATGTTTCGTTTTTAGCTATTGTGAATAAGTCTGTACAAGTTACAAGTCCTTGTGTGGCTACATGTTTTCATTTCCACTGGACAAAGAACTATGAATAAAATTGCTGGGTTGGTATATATTTTACTTTATAAAGAACTAATACACAGTTTTCCTAAGTGATATACAAATTTACATCTACCCCCAGCAAAGTATGTGAATTCAAATTTTGACAGTCTTTTGGTGTTGTCAGCCTTTTTAATTTTAGCAATTCTAACGGATAAAAAGGGGTTTCTCACTGTGATTTCAATTTGCATTTCCCTGATGATTAACGATGTTAAGTATCTTGCCAAATGCTTATTGGCCATTCATATATATTCTTTTTGGAAATGTCTGCTCATGTCTTTTGCTAATTTTTATTGTCTTTTTATTACTGAGTTGTGTTAAATCTGCAATTAGTTCCATCCAATTTTTCTTTTTAATTTCAGAGATTTTTTTTTATTTCTTGAGATTTTCATTTGGTTCTTTTTCTTACCGTTTTTGTGTCACTCCTGAACTTTTCCATCTCCTCGCCTGTCTTTTCATGTAAATGCCTTCACAGATTTTGTATAGTGATTTTAACAACCCTGCCTCCCAATTCCAATATCTATGTCAGCTATGAATTTGTTTATATTGACTGATTTTCCCCATGTTGCTGGGTCACATTTTCTTGTTTCTTTGCTTGTCCGGTAATTACTGATGACAAACTTTGTTAATATGTTATAAAGGCTTTAAATTATCTTACTCCAAACAGCACTGACGCTTGCTCTAGCCAACTGCTCTAGCAAGCAGTTAAATTACTGCCAGGTAATATGGAGGCTTAATTTTAGGCTTTTGTTACAGTAGATTTATTCCAGTTTTTCCCTTAATTCTAGGATGTGGTCTTTATTCCTAAAGCATTAAACTTCTGGAGTTTCAATGGAAAACCTAAGGTGTTTGTCAATTCCCTCTAAGTTGGGGGAACTAAATTTCTAAACTCTATATCCCTAAAGTGAGAAACTGAATGTTCTACTTCTTTCAGCCTTCAAGCTCATGTTTTCTTCCTGGGTTCCTTGGACTCATTATCTGTACATGCAGTTTAAGGCTCTACCAAAGATTAGAGGTATTCATTTACAGATTTGGGCATTCCCTCCTTTGTGACTCTCTCCCTTCAGGTACCCTAATCTCAATTCCTAGTTGTTCTGACCACCCTGAATTCGTCCTATGATTCCTAAAATCAGTAAAACTATTGCTTTTTATTTGAGTCCTATCAGCTACTTCCCATGGTGGTCAAGGAGGGCCCTTGTGGTCAAAGTCATTTAAATGTGGATCTCACCCAGTGTATTTTCTTCTTTCCAAGGCTGAATCCTCTTTAGTTGCTCTCTAGTGCCAATAAACAGTTTCTGTCATTGCTTTTATATTTTGTCAAGAATTTTAAATTACTATTGG